ACTAGAAATATACTCAGTTTTGGTATTTCTATTTGTGGGTACACATACAATATTGATGTTTCTGTATGTTCTATTTTCAACTGTCAACACAACAATGAAATGTGACATTTAAAAGAAATTGCACTAACTTTGTCTGAAGTTTTACCAGCTACATACCTTACTAGTTTCATACTTTCTTCCCTTGCTTTTGCATTATCAGAGCAAACAATACAAGGATGTTAGAAGTAATTTTCACTCAGGTTTATTTCTGTTAATCATACATAATCCCTGTGCTCTTATCCATTTGCAGCTGAATTGTATGCTGTGTCAGATGGAGTGGCATATAATAGAGTTGATTATTATTAGCATTCTCTGCCTTATTCCACCACAAAATAGGTTAACACAGCCTGGAAATTCCTAAAGCCTATGTCTAGCTTGCAATTCGTCTCCAAGAGACTGTCAACCACCTTGAGATGGCTGGAGTAAACTCCTGCTATGCACTCTTCCTGTTCTAACATACCCCTCTACCAGAGATGGAAGAAAGGTGACACAGGAGGCTGGCATGCCAATTTTATACTTATGGGGGCAGTAGAACTTGCTCACTCATGGGAGATACCTAGCACAGTAGATAGCACCTTTGTGCTGCCTGGCCAGTGCAATGAGCGGAGAGCAGGGTTGAGAATCTATGTACAGGTTCTTAAAGAAGCAGAAAACCTAACTGGTATCACATATGAGGTGAAATGACCATGCAGCGATAGCTGACTTATTTAAGTTTATTATTGTCAGAAATAAGTATTTAACTAAACCTGAAAAAGAGTTATTACTGTGCCAAATTCTGCTCTCATGTAATATTTCCCATTCCAATGAGTATTGCTCTAATGTAGCAAAGCAACATTTGACTTGTGGTAAACAATTTCTTTCTTCTTAATCTATCCCCTCAATTACCATCCTCTATTCCCATTGTTGTTTTTTACTCCAGAACAGTAGCAAACTCTGGATACTTAGCTTTCTAGTACAGAGGTAATTTTTTTCCTTATTAAAGGCATTTCACTGTTATGAAATTTGTGGAAGTGAACTTAGCTGACATTGGTGGAGACTGAGGTTCTTTATCCATGGAACCAGTGCAGGACAGATAACAGCATTGCAGACTTATCCAATGTGCTAATAAGCAAGGAGGCCACCTCTATGGCCCTTTAATCCTAAACCTCTCTTATAAGTCTCCTGCCAAAAATGTCAATGTTGTGATTGGGTTCAGTTTGCGTAATGAAGATGCAGTCACAGAGCAAGGTACTGACATCACTACATTTATAACAGTTATCGTCACATCAGCTGAGCAATCAACATGCAGAGCAATCTTTGAAAGCTACCTTCTACAACGGATTTTCTGAAATGTCTTGGAATGATTCTGGATTGCAGCATCCTATACTGCCATCAGGTGATGAAGACTACTGGCACAGATACAAAATAATCCACAAACTAGTTGTGACTAGTTCAGAAGCAGACAGTCTCATCTTATGTAAAGTTTCCTTGGTTCTCATTTGCTCAGCAGCTAAAGATTACACACCAATATGGGCAGGAAACAAATAAAATAAATTTATCAATGTGCAATTTAGCACTTCTATGCAAACTGTTTTAAGAGCTGAAGTCATCAGCAAAAGTCTGGTTTCCTCCCTTATTCACATACATCTTATCACCATCACTTTGAAGAGAAACAGCAAGAACACAAACCTAGATTTTTCCATCTATTATGGTCTTAAAATTCCCCTCACACCCAACATGGTGCCTTAAGTTTAGGAGCCCTAGAGTAGTGGGCAAAGCCCTTAAAACGTTGGGATTCTCACCAAAAGACAAAGGGTCGAAGCTGTGCCAAAATAGCAGGTGTAAACCACTATTCAAGCATCAAGATCTTATTACAGATCTTATAGCCCACTCACCTAGCTCAGGGGTGGCCAATAAGCGACCTGTGGCAAACCACTTATTGCCCACCCCTGACCTAGCTTCACCATGCCATATAAGATACAGATCACAGTGAACCATATGAGAACCTCATTTGGGAGTTGTAAGTACCAACTACAAATATGGAAAATGAAGGATAGCCTAATATATGAATGTGGAAAAAATATCCAAACCATAGACCGTATCTTGAACTGCAGCACTCTAAGGGTACATCTACACTTGCTCCCTAGTTCGAGCTAGGGATGCAAATGTAAGCAACCAAAATTGCTAATGAAGCGGGGATTTAAATATCCCATGCTTCATTAGCATGATCTCGTTGGCATTTTACTCTGCTCAACAGCTGATTCGAACCAGGAAGTGCGCTCCTCATTTTTTGAGGAGTAATGTTAGTTCGAACCAAGGGATTTGTTTCAAACTAACAAGTCCCGGCGCGCACGTCCTGGTTTGAATCAGCTGTTGTGCGGAGTAACGCGCTGGTAAGATCATGCTAATGACGCGTGGGATATTTAAATCCCTGCTTAATTAGCAATTTTGGTCGTCTACATTTGCATCCTTAGCTCGAACTAGGGAGCAAGTGTAGATGTACCCTAAGATCCTTCCATGGAGGGATTGTTTTGATTAATTCCATCAGAAGCTATAGAGAGGATGATAAATTTGGACACTGACCTTTAATGTTGGTTTTAAAATTTCTATATGAAAGTGTTATTTCATGAAGGTCACTGCTCGACAATCAAATAGTAAAAAACTTTTATAACTATCAATCCAAAACTGGATTTGAACTATTGTCAACAGGTGAAAGATTGTACATCTCATTACTACTTTTGAAACCACCTGTCTCCCCGAAATTTGTAATTAGGTTACAGAAGTGTTTAAAAATAGATGATTATTTAGAAAAAGAAAGGCCCTTAAAAAAAAAAAAAAGGCTTTTAGATGCCCTCAATTCTTAGTGTGGAGATCTCTGTACTCTTCCAATAAATTTACTTTATCTTGGTTTGAATATGAATCATGCAAACAATAGTAAAATATGTATAGCAGCCTGCATTGATGGAAATTACGGAAATCTGATGAATAAAAATGTGTGTGACAGCTTGTTTTAGCATACAGATAATCATCTCTACTTAAGGACAATTGTTTCTTTGACATTTACTTATGCTTGAATTGACCCTGTCTGGCTTACCAGTGTTTGTCCTTCTTGAACTTTATTAATATAACTGAAAAGCAGTTTAAATGCCAATGAATTTCAAATGAATAATTACATTTAAAAACAGCATCATATTGTTAAGGCTTTTTCCCTTATCTACTATATAAATTTCTGAGCTCTGGAAAATAAAGTAACTCTGCAAAGCTGCAGTAATCCCACATCAAATACTAGAGTACAAAATTTCTAAGTATGAACATTAGCTATTTGGCTTGTTGATGCAGCAATTATTAAAAATATAAAAAAGATGTTTTTCACGTTTTTAAAATAAGTTACATGACACTGCAAATACTGCAGTGAAACCCTGCAAGTGATCAAGAGTAACAATATTTTGAGAAGACAAATCCGTCATGTAAAGGCCACAAAAGTCATACAATTGTAGTGGGCTAAGGTTCCTATCTTAAAATAACTAATATTAATTTTTAATATACCTGTAGCATGTGACAGGTTTTGCACAAGTCTAAATGGGCAAAGGAGAAGGAAGAACTAAATGGTGAAGTCATGTATAACTATGGACCTTACTTTTGTATAAAACATCTCTTGAACAATGGCTTGATATAACTGCCATTTATGCAGGCATGAAACAAAGCTGATTTTGGCATCAATCTGGTGATAATCTGGCCGTAAGAACTCCAACGTATACTGCATAAATCTCTATCTCATACAGTAGCTTCCTGATGTACTTTACTTTCCAAATGCAAATGTACTGAGAGAAAAGCAAGATTGTTCAGTCAGCATTAAAACTAATATATCGTTCACAAGAAGATGAGCACAATAATTAAGGAATGTAACATTTAAAAAATTAACAATTCTTCTACTTGGCTGAAAAGATCACAATATATGAGGTCTATGCAGTGGCAATATAAGCGATTGACTAAAATATGCTCAAATGCCCATCTTTTAGGGCACATACATTCTCATGATGGTGGCTTGCATTTAAAAGGGAACTAAATAGAAGTGGATAGTTAACTATCTGCCTATAGAAGGCAACAGAACTGAGGACTTTGCCTGAGCTGTGCTGAAAAATTCATAGAGTATAAGGCCAGAAAGGACCACTGTAATCACTGAGTCTGATTAATTGTACAGGTTGAATCTCTTTAGTTCAGCACTCTCTGGTCTGGCAACATGCATGGTCCAGCATGATTTTAGTTAGCAGGATGCCCATTTATCATTCATGTGGCAAAGTCTCCCACAGACCTGTAAAGTTTGTTTCCAGCCCCCAGTCCTGCCTTTCAAGGTTCTGTGCTGTTATTAACTTCTAAATTACCTCTAGATATCTTCTAAGAGACCAGCAAGTAGAGTAAGTGCTAATAATGCTGCTAAGCATAAGCATGCTTTTTATGTTTTATCTACTTATTTTCTTGTGCCAATGTAGTACACTTGTGTAAGAACAGTAACACTTTGTTATGAAGAGAGCTGATAAGCCTTGGCTAGGCATAGCCTTATATAGTGTATCAGTTCAGTCGTACATTATTAAGCACTATTGCAAGCGTTGTTCCATTTATTCACCTCAGTGAAATAAAAATGAAGAGACACACTCACTCCAATATTGATCTCCTGTGGTTCAGCAAGTTCTGTGGTTTGGTCCTAGAGGTGCCAGACTAAAGAAGTTCAACACAAGCTATCAAACTTCCCAGAATTAATTCCTGTTTTAACTGGAGCAGACATCTTGATTTTATAAAGTTTGTTAATCATTCCATGGATACTAAAATCCATGGGAGAGATGGTGAAACATAAGTATAACAAAATTAGACTACAATTCTAGAAGATACATTCTGATCACAAGGCTACTGTACATTAAGAGGAGAATATATGGAATGTTTCAGTACTTTTCTAATAATGCTGTGCAATGAGTTAAAATACATACCTTGTACAGTTAAGTGCACCTGCATTGTTCTCGGAGTGTGTTGGGTCTGCACTGAACAAGTGTATGGGCCATCATCTGTCACATCTACATCCTGTATCTGGAGGCTGTATTCCCTTTTATTTGCTGTTGCAATTGAAACTCGAGGATCTACTGACCATTTATCACCACCTGCAAAAATAATACTTGACCGGTTCAGCCAGGCACCTTTTGAAGCTCCATCTTCCAAATAACACCTGTGAATTACAAGAGGGAGAAAAAGATTAATAATCAGAATGAAAATACAGAGAGCTCTGTAAGTTTGTTAGTTATTTGTTGTCACACAGATTCAGTATTTCACATCACTACAACTTATTAGACATGGGTCTAAGTCATCTAGAAATCCAGAGAATATTTCCAAGTTTACTTTGGTTCCAAATACAGGGGAATTTTCCTCATAGCTTGCAATTAATATGTTTTCACCTTCATTATCATCTCCCACTCAAATTGTAGCTGATCTGTGGCTACTGAGGCTGTCAATCTCTGAATTAAACCCCATTATCACTTCCGAACACAACAGGCCTACAATTAAGTTACTCCTGCTCCAAAAATCAGAGTGCCCTATTGCTTGGGCTAAAGGGGAAATCTTCCTCAACTGTCAGATTATTTAAAAAATCAAGCAATTCCAATTGAATCAAGTAGGGATCAGGGTGGAAGTACATGCTATTTAGTATGAAAAATATTCTTTTTCTTTTAAAATAAGTTTCTTCTCATAAGATAAAATATTTGATACATTCTTTTCTCTTAATTATTTTAGTGCCATTCATGAACTGAAAAAGTTCAATATATAATTTTACTCTTTCTTCTTATGCTCATCCTATTTATCATTTCTAAGTTTTATGTTGTAGTCTTTTCCATTTATGTAAGCATAGCTCCTATTAGATTGCTATTTCTAGACAACAAGCAAATATAAAATATATTTCAACTACCTCACAATAAATGGAAGTGGATCAGTGGTATGTTAATTATTCAAACTAGTGTAATTGGTTTATAGTACAGTACTGTAGTTTTGTACAATTATTGTTTATTAAAAAAGCAATCACAGAAAAATAATGTGCAATAGGGTACACTATGTGATTTAATTGGAACTCCATGAGTAACTCCCTACCCATTAAGGTGTAGATATATCCCAATGAATATGACAGACTCCTGAGATTCTAAACTTCATTTTAAAAGCCTTCCTCTACAAGTTAAAGAGTAATTCCTTTAAATGAGTACAAAGCACGGCTAAAGAATGAAAATATACATTGAAAGAGTTTGATGGCATCCTTACACATTACATTGGGGATCTGAACACAGTACTTGATATTGCTACCAAATTGGAAGCGAAATATAACGGGATGGGCTACTGCCAAATGTATTAACAAATCAGTTGAAAAATATTATGAACGAGGTATAACACATAACTAATTTGCAGTCAGTTTTACCTTCTGTAGTATGAAAACTAGTAGATGTCAAAGTCCAATGTTAACTGAAAGTCTTTTCTGTATGTACACGGTTCCATAAAATATATAGCCTTTTTAGATAATTAAGCCACTGAATTGAATTACTACTATTAAGGTATGACATAACATATTTGAAAAACTTTTGTAACATTTCTCTAATATAGTTTTTCATCTAAAGAACACTGATCACTTGGAATGATACTGTTAAATGTTAACCAACAAGTAAAGAAAAAAATATAGAGAGAGAGATTCTTGTTTTGTTAGCACAGAAATCAAGAGAAGATGATAAGATTGTTGGGCCAGACTATGATATGAGACTATAAATGAATGTGGTATATCTGCCTTGGACGCTTGATCAAGTGAGTAAAAAGTGCTATTTCTAATACTGTTTTAAAATAAGAAAAGAGAGAATATGAATGAGAAAAGAGATGCACACACACAAACACACACAGGGGCGGCCCATGGATGTAGGCAACCTCGGCAGTTGCCTAGGGTGCTGCGTTTAATGCGGCACCCAATGATGACATCACACCATTGAGAGCTATGGAGGTGGGGGCACCAATCGCTCATTCCGCTTAGGGCGCCAGTTGCTGGCAGCTCTCTTCGAGCCTCTCCAGCACATACATACTAAAAACATTAGCAAAACTGCTTCTTCCTCCCCACAAAAATATAGGTTTCATTTAGATTGTAAGAAAATATTCAACTTCTTGAGCAAAAATAGTTTAATGAAAATAGCAATTTAATCTTTAATTGGTACCCTTTAAAGAGGAATTTTCCTCAGATTCAAAGTTAAATCACATGAAAAACGTTCAAAAGGATAGGTTAGCCAGTTACTTTCAGAGCTGTCTCAGCAGCCTAACGGGCAGTTCTGATGCTGTCAAAAGCCTGCAAAGAAGCCAGATGCTGTGACGTGTTCTGAAAGTTGCAGTTTCCTCACTGCTCCTCATTTAAACATAGCTCTTTCAACATCCAGGTTTTCATGCTGAGAAAAGGCGAGATAAAACTGCTTAAAAGGGATATTCTAACCATTGGATTGTGTCTAGCTGTTTTATTTGATCTGGTGATAATATTTCATCTTTTTCAGCAATGTGCCAAAGACCAACTAATTCTTACTTAGACAATTCCCTTTACCATCCATAGTGAACATCACAAATAGATAGCAGGAATCTGCCAAAAAGCAACTTAAAGGTTGATTAACAAAGAGAATATTATGCTTTGACTACAATTTACTCGCAACAAGGAAACCAATTTTTCCAGGGTAAGCAAGTAAGATCTTAGATGGGACTTTTCCTGATGTACAACAAAAAATTGTATTTTTCCAGGTTAGGTTCAGTGGCTCTCCTTGAAAACAAGAACTTTTCTGGAACGCAGTGACATGACTGAAAAAAAAAGACTTTCCTGTTCTGCATGTACCTTTAAAAAGTGGGCTTTTAGGAATGATAAAATATTAAGCAATCTGATCCAAAAGACCAAAAAAAAAAGTCATATTTTGTGTTGGCTCACAATTTATGCAAAAATCCACTGAAGTTAGAAGATCAAACTACATGTAAACTAGACCAAAATCTGGCCCAAAGATAGCCTTAAAATCAGTAAGCACCTAACGCTTTGCTGCATTTTCCCAATACAGCAACAAAATGGTAGCCCAAAAAAGCTCCAAAGAAAGTACATATTTAGTGTGTACTAAATGACCAGTCACATTTATTTGTTGCAGATATACTGTCCTGGGGATTTCTCTTTTTTCTGTTTGTAAATTGCTTCTGATTTGTGAATTTATTAGTTACACATATGTTTACAAATAAATATGCGTATATTCAAAAACAAGAATTAATGTTATTCTTCCTTGTAATTTATCCCTAAAAACCACATGTACTAATCTTTATTCACTACTCTACTTTTTCAGTGAGCAAAAATAAATTAACTTCTGATTTTTTGTATGCATTTCACAGTGTGTGATAATTCTGTGCTGTGAAGTCAACTACCAAAGATTGTAAAGGCTTTCCCTTTTTATCCCTTTAGTTTTAAAGCCCATTAACATTATTTAAATTATTATGAGGGTCAGAGGGACAACTTAGCTTGTAGCCCACATACTGCCATACAAGAAAATTAGAATTAGATTTGGCTTTAAAACTGTCACTTCTCAGGCTGATAGGAACATCAGTGAACTGGTACCTTCAGTGCCTTTGGGAAGTCTATAGACTACACAACTCTTACACCATTATTGCAACACAAAGAGGTAATTTGCCCTCTCAGCTATAAGGTGAGTGAAATATTCTTTCAACATGTGCATCTTGATCTCTGAGGGAGCAGGAACAGCTTAGATGAAGGGGGAAAGTGTTACTAGAATGAAAGTAAACGAATGCCACATGATATCCATCTGAATAGAACCAAGTTCCTTGATTTCTACTCATGGGGATGAGAGCTTCCTTGATTGAGGTCAAGTGGGATTATTGACCCCTAGACTTAGGTGCCAGAGGCTGTTCTACTGTCAAAATAAAAGGACAGACACTAGTGAGAGCACTAGAAAAATGTCTATTTCCTTATAAGAAACTATCAAAGCAGCTGTTCAATAACAGGATACTAACACCATGAAAAAAAATCTTGTTGCAAGATTGAAACTTGGCCTAACAAGCTGACAGATTTCTTACAGTTTGCAACTATCTCATGCAAATTTGGGCACCATTTTGAGTGCACCTGAAAATATATTCAAGGGGCCTTGATTGTAGTTATTGTTTTCATGCAGAATCACCCAGCGATTACCACTGAATTTCATTTGGGGGTTAGTTTGAGCACCAAACTCAGAAACTGATGCTAATTCAATTAACACCAGTTTTATAGTGTGATTCTATTAAGTTACTCCTGGTTGACACCACTGGAAGTAAGATCAGGCCCAAATCAGTGCATAAAAACATGTGAACTGAAACTATTGACTTTTGCATAGTCTTTGTCACAGGGTTCGATATATGAATCATCTTATTAGGTGATTATGCAGTACACTGGGTAGTAAACACTGTCAGAGGCACATTTGCAGAAATAACCCCATACCCAAATGATCTGAAACATTTATTGATCATTTATGAATGATAAGGCAAAACAAAACTGAATTTGGCACCAAAAAGTCCAATAACATAATTTGCCATGTTAAAAGTACAAATTATTTTTTTAAAGAATTAATAGATAATGGTTGATAATGAATGTATTACGAAACCCATCTTTTTTTCCCCTCAATCTTCAGCTTCTGCTTATCATTAAATTTCATGCTAGTCATTATAGGATTTCACTTAATACAATTAACTTTAAAATAATCTCAAGGGAGCACCAATTATGTTTTATGAACAAAGAATAAACATATTGCAAAATTAATTGAAACAAGCATTATAATAATTAAATAAATGAGATATTAATCCTTATTTATCTTATGTCTCTTGAGAAAATTTTGACTAAACCAATAGTGCAGTCAGGAGATTGTCCCAGACTTAAAATGTGACTGTAATCATGCAATGGAAAAAGATTTTTTGTTTTTTCTTTTTCGTTTTTGTTTTTTTACTGAAGCCTGGAATCAAAAAATATTTCACGCAAGATTTAAAACATCATTTCCCATGTTAACTGATGTAGCTGCATGGGGATATTTCAGTATTTCTTTCAAAATTTATCAGAGAATGACTTGCTGCAATTTGCAAGTATCGGCTATCATCCAGTTCAATTTCCTTAAAAATTGCTAACCACATCTTCCCTATTACTAATAGATATGTAAC